GGGCCTAAAAAAAATTTTTAACCCTAATTGCGGGCCGGGCCGGGCCTTAAAAATAGGCAATTTGCAGGCCCCTAGCTTGTATAGAACTATGATCAATCTATTGATATATTAGATCAACTTAATATTCTTTTTTTCTAGTTCATTTTGGCAACCTGGTTGATAATACTTCTGATACTTCCAACTCAGAGTTTCTTGTCTATTTGGCTACTATAACTAGGTACTATAATCTTGATATCTGTTTTTTTAAGTTAGTCTTTATAGTAAGATTATCAAAAATCTAGTTATCTCTTTATTCAAGTTTTTTCAAATAAATTTTTTGTTACTTAATTTTAACAGATTTATATAATTACAAGAACTTATCTAATATTTATACTATCTAATTTGTCAGTTTGCATTTTTTTGTATAACTAGTTATACAAATTTTCTATAATCTATTAGTCATACTAATACAACTGACAGATATTTAACTTAATTGTTAATAATAGTTATATGGTTTGAGGCAGTTCATCTTTTTTCTCTTTATATTCTTTTAATGATTACTATGATAATTAACTAAGAAAAAATAAAGCTGCAAGCATATTCTGATAGTAGTTTTATATAAGGCCTGTATAGGCAAAACCTTTTAAATGATTTTTGTTCAAAATTCTAGTACAAATTACATTAAACTGAAGTTTTAGATCTTAGATAATGATAATAATAAATTATATTTAATATTAATATTACTACTATTGCATATTCTTTATTTCATTAATATAAACATTAATGTTAATATTAAATACAACTTAAATCTAAAGCTTTCATTTAGTAAATTAAATAAAATTTAGCTATCAAAGGTTTAATAAATTTATTTTATTAAAATAAAATTAAATATAATTCAATTTTTTTAGTCAAATAATACATGTATATATATATATAAGTCTAAGCTATTTTTCTACAGAACATGCAGACATTTAATAATAAAACTACTTTAATTATTATTTTAACTCTTGTACTTTGACATACTACTAAGTAATTTTTCAATATAATATATAATTTTTTAAGCTTTTAATTTTTTTTAAAAAAAAGGTTTAATAAAGTTTTAGTTTAATAAGATTGACCTATATAAATCAAATACTTACATTATATTTATTATTTTTATTTTTATTTTTAAAGTATAATATATGTAAAGAATAATTTTTTTGTGACTATGAATCTTTATAATACAAATGTTAAATAGAATGATTTTGATAATGCATATGTTGGTCTTGATAGTAATTTTAGCTTAGTAACTAACAGTGTTAGTGAAACATCTTCAATACCTATTACTAATAATAACAATAGTTACAAAATTTTTTTAATTATAATATATTTCAAAAAACTCATAAAAGTATGCATAATAATATTGATAATGAAGTTATTTTGAATGATATGAATGATATCAATATCAATTCTTTATTTTTACATTCAGAAAATAGTAGTACTTTAAATGCACAAAAAATAGATTATAAAATTAATAACACATTATGTAAAAAGTTTGTTCTATATGCTGTTTTAGATATTTATGATAGAAAAGTGAAACATTGTCCTAATTATGAAGATCCTAAACATATGCTTTGACCACTTTGTCAGCTTATTGGAACCTGGAAAATAGATGAGTCAGTTATTGATAAAAATAATCCCAATAGTATAATACATACTCTTGATATATATAAATCACTTTTTTTTTTGATCAAAATCAGTTACATGTTAAAGCAGCAAAACAGGAACAATCAATCAAAAATAATTATATTTGACTACAATAATGTTTATTTTGTAATAAAAATCATTATATTTTTTTAGCCAAAAAGTAAATTGTCAAGAACATTGGGTCAATATAAATAGTTATAATATACAGATTCTCTGTATTGAATGCAAAATATATACTGCATTTGTAAGCAATACTTAAATAACTAAACAATTAACTAAAATATTAACTAGATTCATTTGTTCAGTATGTTTTCAAAATGAAGAAGGTTACTTGTTTCAAAAATGAAAAAGTGGCTTTAAAAGTTATATCTGTTATAAACAACATATTAATGATAATTGATAGACTTTTATTTTATTTGGATAATGATTAATTATGATTGCAAAATTAGATAATAAAAGTTTAAAACATAATACTTTAACAAGAATGATGGAAATACTTAGTAAAACATATTATTCAACAAATAAAAATAAAACTACATCAGATAAAAATAAAACAACATTAACATCTAGTTTAATAATGATAAAAACAATTATGCAATTTGAAAAAGTTAAAATAAATAAATTAAAAGATGACCAACAATTAGAAAATTTAGTAATATCTAAAGATCAAAACAATAAACTTGGTAAGATATTTGGATATACTATATGGACTATATGATTAGATATAATTAAAAAAAAAAAAAGTACTTGAGTTATCTGAATTATTTGAAGAATATTGTAGTAGTTTTCTGAACTTTCTTAAAAATTTTTTTGATAGTTTTATAACTTTTATACAAAGAAAAAAGTATCAAATATATCTAAAAAAGCAAAAATAGCATAATAGTAAACTTAAAAAATTTGATAGTATATGGCTAATTAAAATTTAGCTTTTATTATATTAATAATTTTTACTATGACTTTTCTAAGCATTAGTGTTTGGCTTATATATACAATGAGCTCATTGTATAAAAAACCTAATCTATTAAGTTTTTTATATTTAATTTTATATATAGCAAATACTGCATCACATTCAAAGCATCATGAAAAACATCTCAAGAAAAACCAACAAATATATTCAAATTTAACATCTTGGTTAATTGAAGGACCAAATGTTTGAAGTATATGTATTTTAGATAATATTGATTTTATAAAGTGTTCATTTAGTTTTGGAAATATCTATAATACCACTCGAATGACTACATATGCATATCTATAAATGGTTTTTTAATTCATATTGCTAATACCTCTTAAGAAAATTTTTAACAAAACTAAAGCTTTACTAAAAGATCATTTATTTAAAATTGGATCTACAGTTTTTACAAATAAGATGCTTCAAGACTTTAAGAATATTTTTTTAATTTTATTAACATATAATGAAATAAATATTGATATAGATAAAGTATATAAAAAATTGGTAGAAAATATAAAATTAGGTTGTCAGATGCCAGTATCTAATGTAGTTATTTTAAAACCAGAAAACAATCTATGTTCAAATAAAACAGTTCATAATGCTTGCAAAATGTTTTTTACTAAGATTGAAAAAAAAACTAATAGGCATAGCAAGATTGATGTAGTTGCAGATGAAGCTATTTTTTGGCATTTAATTTCATATCATGAAAAAGAACCAAATATTTCAATTTTATTAGATGCTTGACACACAAATAAGGAAATATGTATAACTTTAATTACAGTTTTTTCTAATTATAGAATTTTTGATTTGGTAGCATATCTTGGTGTTCAATTTTTAGATAAGTTAGAAAAAGCAGTAGATTATATAGCAACTTGTTAAGTATTGGAACTTATTTGGATTGTAGTAGGACTAGCATTAAGTAAAGTTGTTCAAGATAGTAGTAAAACATTTGCAGATATTTGAAAAGGTAATAATCAAATTATAAAAGTTTGGCTGCTTTATTTTGAATAGAGTAGCTATTAGATCAGATATAAAATTAGAATACAATATAGTAATTATCAAATGCAGATTCAAAATTTAGCAGCATTTGCATCACTTTTTGCTATTGCAGAAAAAAATAATTATATATGATCAGTAACACATATTTTAAGTTATTTATTAAATGATTTAGAATTAAGTTCTTTACTTTAATATGTTTTTTCAATAAACTTAACAAAAAAAAGTTATTATTTTGCCCTTGATAAGATACTTGAAAATTTTAGTGTTAAATATGTTAAGGAAAATATTAGTTTGTATTTAGACAATGAAGATAAATTAAAATTACTGATTAGTTTAATTCAAACTAAGAGGAAACATTTAGATCTTCTAATACATCAATATGTTGGTAATAATATAATAATTCTAAAAGATTATAAAGCAATACCTCAAAATAATATTATAAATAGCTTAAAACATAAGCTTATTTAAGCATTTTTATAACATGATTCTATTACATTTAAAATTTTAAAAAATGCAATAGAATATACAGCAGAAGAGTTTAGTAATTTGTTTACTTGTTATAATATTGGTATTGAAAAATTAAAAAATATTTATTCACAAGAAATTATAAAGAAAATTTTTTATAATACTAAAAGATGGTAACAAAAAAATGTACGAACTAACATGATTAGCCAGTGAATTAAAGTTGAAAAACATTGCAAAAAAATTGAAAAATTAATGTAATTATTTCAAAAAAGTATGTAAAGATATAATATTTATAATATTTTTATTTATTATTATTATTTTTTTTAATTGCTTAATGTTAATATTATATATTAGTGAATATCATATAGTACAACCAAGTAATACTACTAATGAAAAATTAGAAAATACAAATAAAAAAAAAAATATATATATTTAACAAAATCAGAACAGGAAATTTTTAACAGATTAATTGAAGTTGACAACTTATCAGCAGAAGAAATATCAAAAGTACTTATAGAAATTTGTACTCTACTAGAAACTAAACCAGAAAATTGGAATTTAAAAAGAATTTAAAATATTTGACTTAGAAAAAAATTAGCAAAAAAAAAAGACATCATTAATTTAAGCAAAGTTTTGCTAAAATGTTGTAATTAATGATATGTATTATCTTTGGCTTTAATAAAAGATCTTTTAATATTTCTTAATTTTTAACAAAAAAACTATTTTCTATAATAAAAAAAGTATTTATATATAAAAATAAACAAATATCAATTCAAAGTTATTTAAAATATAAATTTAAAATTTATATATATAGTTTATAAATTTTTATTTTTTTTAAAAAAAATAATTAATAGAATAAATTAATTTATTTATGTAACATATATTAATTATTATTTAATTGTTTAATATAGAACATGTCCACTGTATGATATATATACTTATATATGATTTTTATTATTTTGTGTATATGCATTGTAATGCAACTATAAAATCAAATATAATGTAAAATCAAAACAAACCAATTAGTGCATTAATTTAGAGTAAGAGCTAGTGTTAAAATAGGTCAGAATTAAGTAATAATAAACCTAATTTTAATATTAAAAATTTGTATAAAATTTTTTTTATTAGAACATAAAAAGTGGTTTTATAAGCAAAATTTTGAACTATAAATATTTTTTAGAAAAATCAATATTTTCTTTTGATTTTATATTATATTTGATTTTATGATCTGATTAGTTGATTAGGTGGATGCATTACAATGTTCATGTGCTAAATTACATAAACTTTTATATATATATATACAAAAAAAATTTATTATTTTTTCAACTTCATTATTATTATTACTACTATTATTATTATTACTATTATTACTATTATTATTATTATTTTTTTTCTTTTTATTGTTTAAAAATTTGAGTTAGAGGTTCTCATGTTCCAACTCTTTAACTTATTTTTCTAAATTATTAATTTTTTGCTACATCTTTTTCTAAGACTTTTTTTTTTTAATTCTGTATAAACTTCATTTAATTTAGTATAAAGTCAAGCATAATTAGAACAATTAGAACTACTAATGTATTCTTTTGTTTTCTTTTTTAAATAGATTAAGAAACTTTATATAGCTGTTATCATATTCTAGAAGAAGCCAAGATGGATTAATAAATCTTGGCAGAAAGTGCCAGTATCATTAATAGAAGTAGAGAAAGAAATAGCAAAAAACTGAATTATGTTGAAAGTATACTTTTTGAAAGACATTTTTGTTATTTTTTAAAAATTATTGAAAAAAAAATTTTAGTATTTTTTTTAAATTAAATAATAACAAAAAAATTTAAGAAAAGAGATGTAGTAACCTAGTAAAGTGAACAAGTTGTCAATCTTTCAAGTGATAGTTTGGGTGTTCAAATCCTATTAATAGTGAAAATTTGAATAATCATCTATGTAATATTTATATTATATAATTGTTACTAACAATTGTATTAGAATACCTGTAATGGCAATCATAATAGCATGATTGACAGATCATGAGCATCTGTGTAATTTGTTATATAGAAGAATGCAAACTGACAAATCAGACAGTACAAACACTAGATATGTTCTTGTGACCATGTAAATCTGTTAAAATTAAGTAACAAGAATTCTATTTGAAAAGATTTAAGTAAAAAAATAGCTAGATCTTTAACAGCCCTACTGTAAAAACTAGTCTGAAAAAACAGATACTAAGGTTATAGTATCCAGTTGTAATATCTGAATAGGCAAGAACTTTTAAGTTAAGAGTCTTAAAGATACAACCAATCAGGCTGCTAAAATGAACTAAAGAAAAAAGATATTAGGCTAACCTAATATACTAATAGACTGGTCATAGTTCTACATAAGTTATCTGAATTAGAAGTTTAATAAAAAGGTTGGACAAAAAGCAAAAGTATACTAAAGTACTAGGAGTATACTATGAAGTAGATGCTGGGGTCTGTATAAACTCTACAAGGGCATAGCAGTTTAATAGTTAAGCCCTAACTGCAAATGTTGATTCTGCTATAGTGATATCTAAGTTAGCTGTAAAAATAAGTACAGAAGGTTCTGAGGGTTTACTTTAAAAATAAATTAGTTCCAAGATTGAGATAATAATCTGAACATCTGGATATAACCCAGTGAGTTAATACAGATTACAGGTTTAGAAGATTTAAAGTAAAAGATCCAAGCAAAAATATTAGATATGGCAATTAGTAAAAAACCTTCAGGTGAACTTCTTAAATAAGTATTATAAAAAAATTATATATGTAGCTAATTGTATTCTCTTTTGTAATGGTTTATAGAATTACATTACTAATAAGTTATTAATAAAAGTTAAAAGACCAAAGAGGTCACCTTAACATTAAAAAAAAAAAATATTTGAAGATTTTTTGTTATAATAGAGAAAACAAAGGAAAATATATATAAAAAATAGAAAAAGCTAGTTTACAATATTAAATATTAAGCTACAATTCTTTCTTGCTTTAACCTAAGCATCTAAAAAATTAAACTAAAAAAAAAAAACTCTAAGCAATCTAGTAGAAAAGCTAGAGTTTTTCTATGAATTAGTATAATAATTATAGATATAGAAAAGTAAAAAAAAATTAAAAAGATAATAACCTTTTTATTCAGCTATATAGATGTTAATGAAAACTAAATAAATAATTAGTTAGTTTTATAGCAAAAAAATGATTATAAAAAATTTTAAAACAATTAATAATTATTTTTTTAAAAACAAGTAACTATAATTTAATCAGTTCAATAATGTTTTACACTAAGTTTATTAAAATATTTGAAAGTTTATGAATCAAAAATTCAAGTTTATTATTATTATACTTAAAATAATAAACTACTATAATTGTTAATTATCAACAAACAAACAACCAAATATAAAAATTTAGTATAACAATTTATCAATAAAACAAAATTAAAGTTTGAAGGCTTAGTTATAATTCAATTAGTTGATAGAAACTTTTAGAATGTTATTAATAAAATCTAAAAATAGTTTATTATGATAGCTTAATATAATCATATATACTCGAAAAATCTTATATTTTAAGAAGAAGAATATGTAATAGAATTTATTTTTTTTTTTATATTATTATATATTTATTTTTAGCTCTATATTATATTTTATATTTTTCTTAATATTTTTACATAG